GTGTTCCGCCTGCCGAGTCATCCGACGCCGGCGTTTAAATATCGAACGATACGCGTATTCGTTCTCCTTTTCCGCGTACCGTTCGCAAACGGAGCGTGCATTTTTCTTCGTTGTAATAAAACGGAATTACTTAAACTGATTATACCCCGTCGGCCGGCAGACCGGTTACGGTAATCGCATGTAAAGCGTTCGCCGTTGTAGACACTGCTGGTTATGCCGGGCACCCGTAACGGACGCGATGCTAATACTTTAAAACGACTCGTAAGCGACCACCGTTCATCGTCGGCCGAATCCAAGCGACATTCGCTAGGTACCTCTCAGGTAGCACGAAGCATCTTCCAACTCCGATAGAAACTTTCTTCTCTACCCTCTCCACTGTGATCGAAAGGAGGCCTTTTATTGGAGTGGCTCCTCCAGCGTTAAAGACGCGTCGAGTCGGAGGAGAACGATCGTGAAGGATCGAAATCGAACGGGGGAGAAAGAGAGTGGAAGGGAAGACGCGGATGATAAGATCGAGAGATAGAGAGGGTGGACGAGGTAAGGGTTGGAGAGGGAGAGATAGACGCGGAACAGTTCCCTATTTGTAGCGAACAGGAGACACTGACAGGAGTCGGGGAAGCGTGCTAGACGCGGAATATGTCTGGCGTATGTGGAGAACCTCGTACACTCCCTCGGGATTGTTATGGGGGCATTCCGGTTTCTGGTATGTAATATCAGAAATTCCTGTCTACCTGTGTGTCGCCTGTTGCCTGTGCACGTTGTTCCAATTCGAACAGGCGGGGCACACGGTGCGCTGCGAAAGTGGTATTACTTCTGCCAGCGTGCAGGCCCAGGAGGGTGAGCTTGAGTATCCGTTCTCTGATTCGTCGAATATTCGGAGGACGAAATTACACGCAAGTTCAGCGATGGAAAAATTAACTAGACAGAGAGCTGCGAGGGCGAAGCGAAGCCAAGCACCGTGCCTCGTCCCTTCGCTAATTTCCATTTCCAAGTCGAATTCGAAGATGGCTTCGAGGTGTCGCGGAATCGATCGGATATACTACTTCGTGCGTAATCGATGTCCGAAAGTGGACCGTGAGACGAATCGATAGATTACCCTCTCGGGATAATTGCCATCGTGGAATTTCCATCTCGGTTTACCGACAGAGATAAGACACCGGGCCGAAAATCGCGAGGAACCCGCGACACGGAGGACTTCCGGGGAACGCGAGTCGCGTTACTCCGAGAACGGACCTCGGTCTCGCAACACGGAAGGGTAGTTTTAGCCAGAGGCATCGGTTGTCTGCATTCGACACATTGTCAATTTGCCTCTGCTCGTCTCGCCTGTTTAAAATCGATCGCGTACAGGCACATATGCCTCTGCGTGCTTCCGCCAAAGTGTTTCGTTGCCGCCATTCGTCTCTCTTAATAAAAATTCAAAGATAAAAAAAAAAGTGGAGAAAACACACAATATTGCTAGCCGAACTGATCGAACGTAACAATTTATGTGATCCGAACGATCAAAGGTATTCGAATTTTTCGTTCCATCGGATCTGAATTTAATTCTTTCGACTTTCCGGAAAGGACTTTTGCTTCGTCACGAGTTCCCTCTCTTTTCGAATTTTCCTCGCGAATTTTTGCTCGCTGAATTTAACTCTTTGGACTTCCCGGAAAGGGCTTTTGCTTCGTTACGAGTTCCCTCTCTTTTCGAATTTTTCTTGCGAATTTTTGCCGTCAGGAATGCGTCGAACTCGACCGATCTAGGCTACGATTATAAAGACAATTAACGGCGATGGATTAGTCGCGGAGAGCGAATTGTAGGGAATAAAAGAGAATAAAAAGGAATAAAAAGTGGCAGCGAGGAATATTCGAAATACACGGCTGCATCGTAGTCGGATTCTTGTGGTACACGCGCAAATCGTACCGTGCATTCTCTGGTTATGTCTGTTTCATTAAACCGGAGAATTCCAACGCATTTTTGGCAGCGTAGGAACGGAGAGAAACCACTGGTTACACCATTTTCCATAGACCGTGAGCGTTCGTTCAGCCGGGCATATTGCCACGCGATACGCTCGAAAATTTCTCGTCGCTGCCGCTCGGCCGGTGATCGAATGCTGTGGACAAACTACGTTAATTATCCTTAATACGATTGCCCATGTATATGCATACGCTGACCCGAATATTTTCGTATAAAGAACGAGGAAATTAAGGCGCACGCCTACCTGTTACGCGTAAAGGAAATCGGAAACCCGGATCGGTAGGATAATTTTAATACCTAATTTTTGTTTGCATGTTTGGCTCGTCGTAGAGCAGCTTTGAAAGCGCCATGTCTGAAATATTAACTCCACGCTGTAAATTATTTTCATATTAATTCAAGAATGTCGAACAGTCGAATAACGAAGCGTTCCTGTCGTGTTTATTAAATTTCTTTGAACTCCGCCCCTTGCGGAGGCAATATGGCCTCTTGCGTAGTATCTACGCGTGGCATTTCTGAAAGATCTGTGTCTCCTTCGAGAAGCGGTAATTTCGAAATTTTCGCTCAGCCGTGCCGAACGATTCCCATCGAGGGCAGTGAATTTCTGTACATCGGCAAGTCCCGCGTATCGTCGTCCACGCGAACAGCCACCATTAACCCGAGAAAAACGAATTTCGGTTATTTGTCGGCGCGTAATATTTCAACGTTCATTACGAATTTATCTTTACACCGGATTAATAGTTCCCGCAATGGTGACGCACTCTGCTGGACAAGTACGAATTTTCGCTTCGATTTGGTACGATTGCCAAATAAACCGTATCCTCCCTTCCTTTTCTCTTCGCTGGGCAGCATTCGCAGAACAAACGCGGCAATTAAATATTTCGTCTACAATCGTTTACTCGATGAAGTATCGTGACACGCGGATAAGACAGAGGAACGTAACGAACGGAGGGAACCGAATATTAATTTGCATCTGCAAATTCGTTTTATTCCCCTTTCAATGTCTGTTAATTATTTTTCCATCCGGAGCAGTTGTCACGACAATTGTGGATTATTTATTCAAATTTCTACGACATTACCGTACCCTCGTTATCGCGCGGCACGCAAGGTCGCGTGAAACGAAACGGATAGCTAGTTCTCTAGATAACGACGGTATCTAATTGATTCGCCAGAATACGTGTAACGCGGAGCATTATGTCGCACTGTACCGCGAAGATATGTGCGGATGCTAATCGATACGTAGTAACGCGGAACTATAATAGAGTCGTACTACTTGCCCTTAACGCTGCGCCGATCGCTCACCGCGTGATAATATTTCCCGGAATGTTCATAAAACGATCGCGCTGTCGGGGATTTTATTGGACTGGTGGACGAGAATAGGTCGGACGATCTACTGGGAAACCGGTGGTCCGTTGGCGTGGGAGGAAGAGAATATCAAAGCCGGGAAGAAGCTCGTGTCAATATCCGAGGAAAGTGTTGGCTGGCATATCGTCCGTGGCTGACGTTGGAAGCGGCACAGCCGACTTTCGTCTTCGCTCGACGGCCGCCACCTTATAAAAAAGGGTAGCTATTGAATTAAAAGGACGTAGCGAATAAAGCGGCCGGGCTACGCTGCCGCGTAGAGGCAGGCTAGAGGGAAAGAATGGCTGTCGCTGTGGCGAAACGAGGATGGAGGAAAGGTGGAAAAAAAGTTGGAGGAAACGAGAAGGAATCCTCTTCTCTCCTTCGTGCCGTCTGGCCTCGTCGCGCACCCTGCAACCCCCTGCATCCACCGGACGCCGTGCTTACCGGCCATAAAAATAAAATTTCAATAAATCTCCGGCAGAGGGTAAGCTAGTGGGGCATCCAGAGGGCGGGCTACTCGCTCATTGGAGCTGCGACCGTGGCGGTTACCGCCTACCGCAAAACAGAGACAGCTAGACTACGGTAACCTGGATAGAGTTTACCTCGGATATGGACAGCCCCGCCAACCATCGTAGTCCGCGAGCAAAACTCTGCCACTACCGCTTCTCGATTTCTTTCTATCGCATTTTTCCCCTTTTTTCCTCTCTCCTTCATCCCCCTCTTCATTCGCGCGACTCGCGGCAAGTACGCTCTTCTTTCCTCCTTTCTTCGTCTTCTGCTTCCTCTTCTTCCTCTTCCTCGCAGTTCGCTGTTACCTTTCCTTACGTTTCCCTCGGATTTTTGCCCCCTAGATCCGTCCGTATCGGTTCTCCAGTCACCTAACCTTCCCTCGTGAAGCGCCACCGGAAGTACGCCGATTTCACCCCCGTCCCGTTTCGTCGACTCGTCCGCCGAGCTTTATGAACCTGCCAGAGTTCCTCGAGGAGACCGATATTCCCGATTTCCCGATACCTCTGACTCCTCGACTCCGTTACGCTCGGATAACCATCGGTACACGGGGTAAACTATGGGAATACGTCCCGATGCGATCGTACCTGTTCTCCACCCTCCTCGTCCATGCATCCGATCGTCGCTGTGTCATCCGACGAGGGTAACGAGCTAGCCCGAGTATTCTTAATTCCTCGGAAACGCGGAACTTGGACCGTGGAACATTGGCAGAGTCGCGAAGGTTGTTTCAGCGGGTTCACGCGCGGTTTCCAGGTTACCGTTCCTAGCTACGCTCCTGGCGGCGGCGGCGTCGAGTCTGAAGCACGGCAGCGACTTAATATCACGCCCACAAACCGGGCGCAGGAGTGAGAGCGGGCTGGCGCGTGCAACGGGGGTGAAGGAGAGACGCGCGAGAGGGTGTTTCGCGAGACAGAGAGAGGGCCATCCGCGGCTATCCTCGGCGGTGGGGGAGCTCGGATATGGCAGCTAGGCAGTCCGCTGTTTGCCTTGCTGGGGCACGGGCCGTTCCTCGAGTATCTGTACGTCTTCACGGCTGCGATCGCAGATTTTCGCGCTATAATCCCGAGATATTCGCTGTATCCATCGGTGCTACATCGCCTGTAGCACGCAACTTTCGAGGGTGGCTCGCGGTGACACGCGGATTTTTGGTAGCCGCGTCCTGTCTGTGTCGGGGGTTGCTTTCCCCGGGAACGGCATGCTCAATAACATCTCCGCCGGCGGGTCTGTACACGGTATTCCCGGTAAGTAGCGACTGTAACGTGCAACCACCCCCTTTTCATTCCTCGACGGACCTCGCGCGGTTTGCTTTTCAAGTATCTCGAAGGAATCTCCACGAGATTCGCGCGATTTCCGTACTTCCACCGGTGCAGTTTCCCGGACCTTCCTCGGATAACGTCGGCTAGGCACCTTTGAGCGTTTGTCGCGGTTTGTTCCTTCGTTGTTTGTGGTTCGAATGTGAAAAGTGGAGGAGAACGTTCGCTGTGCTGTGAAGGGGTTGAAACTGCCTTGGTAAACATTCTTCCGCTTTTCGTACATCGAGTAACGAAAACGCTTGGTTTCCGTGCTCGTAGTAATTCGTTGCAGGGTAACTTTATGGCCTCTGTCACGAAATATCACAGAGATTCTTCGTCGACTCTGTATAGATCCTTTTCGATTGGATAGACGTTCCATCGCGGGTACTATGATTCGTCGGGGTAGACGGAGAAATCGAAGGGTGTACTATGAATGTTCGTAAGCGATTGAAAAGTGTCAAAGAAGAGTGATTTTATTCCATTAGAGGGTTAAATGGATTTGAGAACGTATCGGAATTCCCTAGCGACGGTGCACGAGAAATTTCTTTTGAAACTTCCTGTTCCTTTTATTCAAATTTCGCTATACTCGATTGCGCATTTGTTCGAAGATTCTGCAACGAAGTCCTAAACCCGTGTTTTCTTGGAAAAAATTTTATCGCGAATATTCCTTTAAGGGGTGAAAATTTCTCCTCTCCGGGGGATAAGTTCGATTTTAAGAGATCGTTGAAATACCGGCACTATAAGTCGGGATTATCTTCCTTTTTCCGCATGGAAATGTGGTTTTATTAACATTTAAAGAGTAACATTAACTGCAAACATGAAAACGTCACAAATAATATGGCCGTTTACGTTTAAAGGGTAGTTAATTATGAAAGGACGATTCATATAATACTAACTACTAAAAATCTGTTAAAAAATAAATAATTTCGCGCTTTTGATAGCGAGTAGCCGGAAACGCGCAATAGCTGTCACGGTTAAGCAATTATACTTGCGAAATATATTTTATTCGTTACTTTAACTTGAATAATAAACTGTAAATAATATTTATAAATTTCTCGGATAATAATATATTCATTCGATTGTTTATTTTTACCGCGGAATTGCAGGCGAGCAATGAGCAAGCACTATCCGACGGCACCTGTTCTTCTGTATCCAAAATATCCTTTGTAAATTTACCAGGTACTCTAACCGTGACAATAACCTAACTTCAACCATCTATCGAGAATTTTTATCGTCCGAGCGAAATTTCAATTACTCTCGTTATTTTCATTTAACCGGAGCAAATTAGGCGCGAATTATGCAAGAAAATTCACTAGGTGTACATTCGGATATGCTATGGAATTCTCTGGTTCACCGTGAACGAATAAAATATCGAATTAAAATTGCGAGATCAAAATCGAAAACGCCATCCGTATTTTACTCGGTTTCTAAACGCTCGCGTATTAGTCAACGTTTATATTTTTTACAAACCATTGGAAAAATGGGGAGGTAACAAAGATGCGCAAGATAGAATAGCCATTACCATTCATCCCCATCAACAGAGATGATGCGGAAAGTATACGTGGCGTGCGTGGAACGTTACAGTTACTCAGTTTTCCCTGTCGAGAGTCACGTCGCACGTACGCGAGATAGAAGGGAAAAGTTGGTGAAACGATAAAAAGAAAAACTTTGGTCCGATAACACGTGGCGGACGCCTGTTCGCTTCTCTCCCGCCCAAGGAAACCGCTTCTCGAGTTTGATGACCTTAATTACTTCAACGCTGATTACATTAGGCGGGAAGTTAAGGAACGATTTAGAGTTGGGACTAGTAGTAGAAACCGAGCAAAAGCGCGACGTATCGGTTCAATTAGAGATTAATTAACTGCCGATTTTTGTCGCTGTAACCAATCTTGCTCGAGAATTAATTTTTCCACTGTTACAATTATCTCTCCTCCGAAAACGTGCTATATTTTTCACCACCTAGTGGCTAGAATTTCGAAGAACTCTTTCGTTTTTCCTTTCGAAAATCACACCGAGTTCGCCCGATTTCGTAACGTTTGATTCGCCATCGAGGACCGCGACGGCGACGAAGTAATTCAATTAAAAGCGTTAATTACAATCGGTACAACATCGATGCACCGAGACGATGCACCGGTTCGCGATTCCCGATGTTCGAACGAATGCGTCTGTCATGTAGTTTCCCGATTCACTAATGCGGATTGCGAATTTATTAATCGGACATCTTCGAGCTGCTGTCGACGACGGATTTTTAAAATAGCCATCGATTCGCTGGATGTCGCGGTTTCATCAATATCTCTGATGAAGTCGATGAAATATCGAATACGCGACATGGAGGAGCAAAGAAAAGAGCACGCAGACGTTTCAGGAGTACGAAGAGGAGGAAATAATCGTGCGCAGGAGGGTAGGATGTCTTAGGCGCGATCCTTTTAATTCGATTAAATAATCCGATAATCCGAGCAGGTGCTACAGGATTAAAGAATGATTCTTGTCGTTAATGAGAGGCAAACGGCTGCGAGGCAAACAAAAGGTTGCAGCGAACTAATCCTCGCGAAGCGGCGAGTTCGCACTAATCATATCCCGTTCGCCAATTTTTATCAAACCTCGCCTCGAGCATTAAGCGAATTGAATTTGCCAGCTCGAGTATAAATTTAATATTTATTTGCCCGTCTTTGTTTTCCGGTTTAATACTTTTCACGTTTAAAAGGATGAAAACCGGCATTTACGGTGCCGCGCGTCAAAGGACGGCCAGTTGGCGACTTTTGGAACACGTACCGTTTCGTTCTTCATATAAAACACGCTCTTTTTTTTGTCGCCCGTTCAAATTGATCTTGATCGAGACGAATTAAATTACACGGGTCATGCCGCGGATCACATAGTGACAATTCAATTCGACACGCTCTTTTTCAGCGGAAGCTTCGCAGCTGTGGAACAAAAATTGCTGGAAAATTCATGGAAAAATTCTATATCCGCGTTCTCCCTTTCTCTCGTTTATTCCCATTGTCTCTCTTCTTCTTTTCACCTCTCTTTTGGCAGAAACAGAAAACCACGTTGAAGAGATCAAAGGAATCTACCGAATTCCGGACCGGCGAGCGAGGGTGCTCATAAATACCGGGGCTCGCCCAGTAAAATCGAAATAAAATCATCAAGACCCATAAAAATAAAACGAAAATAAAGACCAGTCATAAAGTTCATTCATACGGAGTTTCCATTGAGTAAACGGTTGCTGCACGCTGGTGGTCCCCGAGCACCGTGTCCTTTCTTCCAAGCAATCACGCTCTTCGACACCGTCAACATCCTTCTCGCAGTTTTACGATCATTTCCATTCGCTAATTGCGTCCAATTTTTATTCGCCATCGCGTCGCGTTTTCGCGAATCGTCTTCTTCTCGGTCTTATCCGATTTTCCGTCGCTTCCTATCGTCGTTTCCACCCCCGTGTTCGAATTTCCACGAACGAAAGGCAAGATTTCGGATAGAATTCCAACGCGAATAATCCACGAGGAAAGACGAGAAACTTGGAAAATCGTGGCAGAATTTCGATATTCGTCAAACGTAGGAATTACCTTAACTCGTCCACGACGCACGCATACACGGGCATCGGTTGGATAAAAAAGGATCGAATTTTCAGGCATTCGCATAACTTAGCGAAAAGCAGCGGCGTTCGTTTCGTAGGGAAAATACGCGGGGTCGAAATTTTCCAACTATTTCCGCTATGCTACCGGCGCCGCTCAAATTCCAGACTATTAACGTTATTATGCACGTGTGGTCGCATTAAGCATTTTAGATACGCGCTCGGCCAGACGCGCGAAATGAATCACTATTAGCAAACCGGATTATAAAATATCGATACAAAACTGCCGGTCCGGTCAGCGTGTTTATGAAACCAATAAAATTCCTTGGTTACTATATTATCGTTTCGTTGCAACGCGTGTGACTTCATAACGCTTGATGTACGACCCGACGCTTAATTAACGGCCGCCCAGATATCGAGAGAAATGTACCGATTGCGACGATGATCCCGATAACTATCCAGCCGGCTGTTTTAAAAATACCCGAATCCTCGCGCAAATTTCTAATTAATTCCCCGAATTACTCGATGTGCAATGGCGTAGCAAAAGCTTCCCGATCTCGAGCGTTCTTTCCTCGATATCGCGATCTTCGCGAGTCTTGGAAACTCCTTACCATGCTGCATTTTGTATCGTATTTACGCGCTCGAATAGGACTTTATCGCGATTCGCTCGGCGAGTGCCGGACGACTTCCGGTCCCCGGTTGGTCCCCGGTTGGTCCCCGGTTGGTCCGCGGTGCGTCGCGGCGTCGGATCACCGGGACCGGTAAGAATTCCCTAGATGAGCGGGCTGTAGGCCAGAGGAACTAGTTTACTCGATTACGTAAGCAGGTTTGACAAAGCACAACGACGCGCGATGGCTGCGCGATGGCGGCGCGATCACCGGTTCCCCGGAACAGGCGGCTTCAGCCGTTCTCCTCCCACGCATTCTAGAAATTTTCTACGACCACGTAGCCGTGACTGGCCGCGCGCGCGAGCACGTGTTCGTGCGTGCACGATACCAGGGCTGAATGTGTGTGTTTGCTCGCCTAGAAGCCGGAGGCCGGTGACGATTCTCGCACCTCCGTGCTAAGTGGTCCGTGCTCCCCTCACCACCGGCCACTCAGCTTCTGCTCCTATACAAATTTAAACTACATAGAGCAGAAAAGGGAGTGAGCGAGAAGAGGGGCCGGTGACTGCCACGGGGTAACAGAAAACTGTAATGGCTGGTTTTTTTCGCGTTTCGCGTTCGCAGGAGTAAAGGATCTCCATGCGCAGGACCTGAAGAGGCACGCGAAGTTGGACGGCGTGCTGGGAGTGAATTTGGGCACCGGATTGTCTGCCGGCGGTGGCCTCACGCTTCATCAGGAATTAATCATGACCATGCCTAGCACGGGTAAGCGTTTTATCGTGTTCCAATGTTCCCGGTCTTTTTCTTCTGCTCCGTGTCACGCTTGCTTCCCATCCACGCCCTCCGTGTCGTTTCGTTCCAACGTAAATCAGAAATTTCTCTGTCCCGCTTCTCATCCCTGTCCGGAAGATCGTTCCCGTTGACGATGGCCGGTGTCTGCAGAGAGAATTCGGATAACGCGAATCGGGGAAAAGAAATTCAGTCGGGGCAATAGAAGTTTATCGCGACTCGCTAGAGTCTTCTTCATCCCCTGATCCTCTCGCTGCAGGGAACGCGGCAGCAATCGGACAAGGAGATGACAAGCCTGCGAAGCAGAAACGGCATCGAACGAGATTCTCGCCAGCTCAGCTGAACGAGTTGGAAAGTTGTTTCAATCGGACCCACTATCCGGACATCTTCCTCAGGGAGGAGATCGCTCTGAAGATTGGCCTCACGGAGAGTCGAGTTCAGGTAAGTCTCGCAAACGATTCTTCGCCTTTCGTTCCGATTCTCGAATAATTCAAACTGCTCCGAGTAGTTTCGTTTAACGTGCCGAGCAAAGACTCGCTCGCTTAATTCCGCGCCGCGCTGTTTGGACAACGAGAGACGCGTTTAACAGGCGTAACTAGGTGTTACCGCGAGTGTCTCGAAATCAATTTCGCCGGCCTACCGCGGCTTTTCGGATTAAAGCGAAACTTGGAGTAGCGTTAAGCTTTCACCCTACGGGGTCTCGAATTTTGCTGGACTCCGAGACTTGCCGTGGGGCAACCGCGAAACTTTCCGGAAACTTTCCCTGTCACGGTGTGCGTGTACACCGGGTGCAAAGATCACCGGTCTGAACCGTGACGTATCGAGAAGAGACGGCACGTCGATGATATTTTCATCGATTCTTAAACATTCCCTGACTATTTATAACCGGCATTCATATTCAGGTAGATGGTAACATAACATTCGGTAGCCTGGAACGATGAATCTATAAATACGGTATTAGATCGACGAAACGTTTACGAATTCTTGAAAGTCGGATTAAGAGATAAAGGCTCTCGAGCGTCAACCGCGGTTGAAATCGGAAATTGATAAAACCGATAACCGAGTTTTGACCAGCGAGTAATCGATGCTCTTACTTCCCCCGGCTATCAACTGGCTGGAGCTTTTTTAAGCCTCCGGGGCACGTCTAAAAAAACGAAGCTAATAGAAATTCATGAAAATTTTATTCGCAACTCGGAAGCGTCAGTCAAGCCGGGCGTCGCGCTGCATATCAAATAGTTTCGCTCGTCTTCTTTCCCCGTGTCGACACACACGCGTGCACGCGGCATGTGTGCGACTGCTCCTACCGGATTCCACATATTTTTCATATGCGCCACCACGGTTCCGAGAAAATTCGTCCGCGGCTATCTCCGAATGTTAATCCCGCGTTGTCGGCGACACCGCGATCGACGTGCTCCAAAAATACAGCGGTGCATTCCGCTCGTTTAAATCCTCAGACGGATCCTAAATCCCGTTTATTTTCGTCCGGCAATTTTCCTCTTTCCCATCAAACGCTCATCCGTCTCGCGGTTTTCCCGATCGCGCGATACGTCCTTCCATTTTACCCGAACATCTTCCCTGTACCTCTCTCGTCATCCCTCCGCCACTCGAGAAACGTTACGACAGGGGGGGGGGGGGGGAGGGTAGAAGTCGTCGATGCGAACGAGAGCTCGTCGCGAAGCTCTCTTCGAGACTCGTAGGGTAGGTGCGCGTACGAAGAGCAGCGTGGCCGAGGAGAGAAAAGGGAGAAAAGGGAGAAATGAGACGGAAAGGGAGGAAGGGAGAGGGCGAGAGGGTGGAGAGGGATCCGTCGGTCGGTGTACGGGGTGGCTGGTTGCCTAATTGAAAGAGGTTTTCCGTGGGCGAGGGTAGACATCAGAGCGAACGAAGCGTTTCCAAGGAAACCCGGCGGCGGGCTCTCGTGTGGAGAGGGCCTCAGGCACCAATGGGGCTGCTAGGGAAAGGCGCCGGCGCCCAGCGTCGCTATACTATCGAGCGTCGCTATCAAAGATTTCTTGACTCGCCATGGCGGACCCGCCGCTCAACATTTTTACGAGGGCTGGGCCACCCCCGTAGATGTATCGGACCTCGGTGCCGCGTGCACACGTGGATCCTCTGCACCCTGTGCATCGCGAGATACCTCGCACTGCCTGCCAATAATCGCGTATCGTCGCTTTCGCTATGTTTTACTTCTCCGTTATGAAATTGAAACCGGTCAGCTTCCGACGAACGTTTTTCCTGATCTTTTAATGCCAAATTTCTTATTTCTAGTTACTTCCAACCACTCTGACGTTTCTTCTTTCCTATGTCCTTTCGGTACGATCGCTACTGCCTAGAATATACTTGGAAATCGATGCAGCGACGACTCTCTCAATATTTTGTTTAAATTTATATAGAACGAAAGAAGGGAATCGTGGATGTCGATATTGCAGCAGGGAAGCGGAGACATTCCTAACGTGGACGTCGTTAAAATTCTCGTAATCAATTGGAAACGGAGAAAAATACTAGCCGGTATTGTCAAAAATCCCATCGGATACGCGTAATCGTTCGGTCGAACGAAGAAGCGTTTCGCGGGCGATGAAAATGGGGGGAAAAAAGGGGCGAATGGAATAACGGGCGCGAGAATCGAAAGACGCGATAGTTATTAAATTAGGTTTTTCAGCGTATAATCAGCGATATCTAGAATCGTCGAAAGGATGCTACTCTCGAGAAGTTTGCAGAATTTTCCGCGCGAACAATCGGGAGTTTTTAATCGAGCGAAAGAGTGGGCGGGAACGTAGTTTCGAGGCTACGGAATGGATCAGGGGAACGGCGTGTAGGTGCAGCTAAAAATTAACCAACTACCGGTTTTAATGCGATGATAGCGTTAGCGGAGAGAAGAGTGCCACAGGAAGCGTTTCTAATTACCAACAAAATACTTCAAATAGCGTAATGAAATATTACGATTTATCGATCTGCCGTAATTTATTACTACTTGAAAAGAGATGTAATTGCCGCTCCGTCTCTAATTGCTGTTAATTAACAACTATTATATTGCTTGCACGATAACGCATTCGTCGGAACTGCTTTACAATCAACAAATACTTCGATGCCGCATCACGTAGCTGATCCGGAGTTACGCGAGGCATTCAATTACGCTTTAATGTAATAGCGTTTTCAATTGTGGCACTCGTTTAACGTGGCTACCGGTCAGACAGTCGGCTCGATCTGAGACGCAAATCGACGTGCAATTTTTATCGCGATAATCAGAAATTTAATGAAGGCGAACGCGGTCCGGTATGAAAAGCCGCCTCAATCAGCCGGAATAAAATAATCAAAAGCCTCCAACTTTAACGTTGAAAAATTCACGCGCCCATCCGCTGACCTTTCACTTGGTTTAATTAGTAGTAATGGATATAATGAATTTTACATTAGACCGACTTTTATTATTTCGAATAAAATATAAATACACGCTCTATTTATTCTTTCTTCCGCCCGCTTCTTTTTTTCCACGCTTATTTATTTCCGCGTTCGTTCCCCCGTCCCGCGTCGCCACGAACTACCCCCGGCGACGACGTTTCGCATAATCGCACGCGAGAACCGAACCGCGAACCAACCGGGATGGGAACAGAGAGCGACACATGGAGAAAATAACTATTTACTCGCTTCGCGATTTCGTTCCTCGTCAACTCGTCGTCGTCGATCCAGCCCCCTCTCGTCGTTTGCCTCGATTTAACGAGTATTATTCGAAATAATAAAATCGTCGATGGCTAACGAGCGCGTGACGCGTGGCAGAGTAAAAAGGTCGCATCGTGGACAAAAGTCTGGCGATATTCGAAAATTATTCGTCGCAAAACGCCGATTCGACGGCCATAAATAATTTCGCGGCGCTCGCGGATGCGCGAAAAAATACCATCAGCCGGGGACGTCCAAGGGTTTTTTTTTTTCCATCCCTTCTCGAAACCCTCTGTTCGCTCGCAGGGGTCAATGGCTCTCTTTTTCGCGCGCGCGCGCGCGCACTCTCTCTCGCGCTTGTGCTCGTGCTCGCGTTTGGATGCACGATTTTAGAAAGGTATGCAGGATCGCGCCGTTCCTTACCGTCAATCATTTCTAGAATATTAATTAACCGATCTCGATGCTTCAAATAAAGCTCAATCATCCGACGGTTCAGCGACGAGAGCTTGTGTCCGCCAGCGTGTGATCGTACGCGCGCGCGCGAGCGCTCACATTCAGACAAAAAGCTTTTTTCAGCCAGACATTTATCGCGAAGCCGACAGTCTATTTTCGGGAACACGTATTGGCGCTTTACGGTTTTAATTACGCGTATTTTAATCCGCCCAGGAGACATTTTCTGTTTCCAGAGCGGCCGCCGTGGAACGAGCTTTATTAGACCTGCACACAGCCGATTTAAATTTAATCATAATGAAGAGGCGATTAAAATTGCAATCGTCCACGGAATAGAACCCATAGCGGCGGGCAGTTAACGTCTGCTAACAGGCATTTAACTTAACTGCCTCAGGTAACTGCTCGTTTCTAGGCTGAAGGGTCCTTTCGATTACTACTGCCCGGAAATTTTATGGGGCACGATCTTCCGCCGATGGCCGCAATCCGTGCGAAAGCTTCGCGACGAAAAGTAAAAAAGGGAAAAAACGAAGAAGCAGAGGGTGGGTGGTAGAGGGTGAAGCGCTGTCTCCGAATTACTCGGTGCACTGGTCGCTTTCCGTCCTCCGTCCTTCCACCTCGTCATCTGCCGAAATTGTATCCGAATCTCTTTAACGCGGATTAACGCTATCGCTGCACGGCGATCATGCGAATCTCGCGTCGGAGAATCGTTTCCATCTTGAATCCACCACTTCCGCTGGAAAATTCCTCATGCGAGTCGACCTCCGCGTATTCTCCGATGAGAGAACTCCTCGACAACTCTCCGCGATTAGACGTCCATTACGCATTACGCATTACGCGTACGCGTCTGTCTTTAGGCCCGAATGGTAAGAAAAATTATTGCATACCGAGAAAAGCTTGCAACGATTTTTGCGATGTTAATCGCATCGATATTTTCGACGCAACGTTCGCGTAACTTGGACAAACTCGCGCAGACTGCGGGGAAAGCGAAGATCGACAATGAACTTTCTTAGCCCGGTTCATTTTGGAAATGATGGAAGTTCGAATCTGTGTCCGTGTTGGCTGAAAGTCACATATGCCGTTCCGAGGGACGGTCCGTGGTGGCGGATGTTGGGTATTGCTTTCAAAGTATCCCACGGGAGCTGGACGAATGGCGGTGTCATTCGACCATCCTCAGGGACAAACAAGTGACTGCACCGAGGGTAAATGTAGTTCGTTATTGTCTTGTCCTGAGATATGGGAAATGGTTTCAGTGTACACTCGCAGGAGCGTGAAAAGCCCGCGACGCTCGAGACCGAAGTTTCTTTGGTTCGCACCCAGGCGAAACTTACGATTCGCGCTAA